TTTAGGGTTTAGGGGATGCGTGACACAAAACCTACACAAAATTCAAGGATGTTTGGCTTCCGGCGCCGCGCAGCTGTAAGGCTTCTACCTAGACCCCTACGGTAGGCCCTAAACACCTATACCGTAAGCCATCGCGAGCCCCTGAAGCCTAAACCTGAAATAAAGTTGGACCCGCATGCCCGAAATCATGAACTTCTAACCCTAAACCCTAAACCCTAAACTTCCAAAGCACCGAAAGCCTTGAAGACCGACAAGCCGAGTCCGGGACCGAGGCCGTGCGATCTACCCGGCAGGGGACCACCCGGAGAACAGAGAGCCAAAAAATGCACAACATGGCCATGGCCGATGGGGTTTAGGGGGTTTGGGCTGTAGGGTTGATGATTTGCGGTATAGGAGTCCGAAACCCTAAACCCTAAACCAGGAGTTCGGCGGTTTCGGGCTGTAGGGTGCAGAGATTCGGGGTTTTAGGGCTTCAGGCTTTGAAAGCCATGAAGTGGTTTGCTCTGTGCAGGGTACCGTGAACTCCAGAGACTTGGAGCATGGGTGAAGGACGCTAAGCCCTAAGATGCTCTTCATACACCAGCCTTAGAGGGTTTGGGGTTGTGTGCAGCACGGTATGCACATGCTCGCTGGCACGACAGCGAATGAGCAGCGCTTGAGTTCTTTGCTCTGGGTGCCCTCGCACTGGGCCCAAAACCCCTGAACCGGCTACCCTGCCCGTCTTTCTTCCGCTTGCAGGCTTCCGTCAGCTTCCGAAAACAAGTTTGCTGCTTTGCATGCTGCCGACATGAGCATGAGCCGAACGACATGTTTTCAGGGCCTATGGCAGTTCAGGGTTTAGGGTTTAGGGTCTACATGGGGTATAGGGTGCTACTGTTGCGGGTTCAAGCGTTTAACATGCGGCGTTACGGGCTACTGCTCAATAATAGCACGAAGTGTATACGGTCTACAGTACGTCCCTTTACGTCTGTAGACCTGCACCTTAGGCCGGAGCCGTGTAGAACCCAACTGCAACGCGCAGAAGCCTGTAAACCTTCAGGCACAAGACGAGTAAGTCTGAATAAGTCTGTCGGGCAGCCTAAAGCCTAACACACCCCAACAACCCTTGCTTGAGCCCACAAAGAGCCTTTAGCACTCTTAGGGTTTAGGGTTTCTCGAGCTTAATAAAGACTACTTGCACCTTGTAGCATGTGGCAAACCCCGAGAAAACTGTTGCAAAAGACGCTTACGAAGCCCAATGCCACCGAGATGAGCCTTGAAACAACCCTGGAACCTAGAGAGCCCAATCACTTAGTCGAGGAATGCTTTAGGGTCTAAGGCCGGGTTTAGCTTACGCTACAATGGGTTTCTGAATGTGATTTCAGGAATAGTTGAGTTACTGGAGGGATGGTTGGGCAAAAACACCACGCCGCACAAATCTATGGCCTTAGAACACCTGCGAAAAGCCCAGAAGTAGTCCTCTGAAATTAAGCTTCAACCCTGGATTCTAGAACCTAAACCCTACATCCCAAACAGTGAGCCCTAATCCCTGAACGGCAAACCCTCCGAACCCCGAATCCTGCACAAACCCCGAAAATCGTCGACCCTAACGCAAAACCCAGTTCCCCAAGTTATTTGTGAGTCTCAAATTCCTGGACCCTTACATGGAACCCTACACAATAGGATCCCAATCATCAGGACCCCCCATATAAAGGAATTTGGCCTATTGAAATTTAAACAGGAGATCCCACAACCCTGAACCCTAAAGCCTAAATCCCAAAGGCTACGAAGCCCCGGGATCCGTGGGAGACTGCGCCCACAAGCTCTCTGCTGTTGCCTTCGGCAACTGCCCAGCAGAAGATCATCCTAAGGCTTCTATAATGTCTAGCCATCAAGGCGGAGAAACGGTTTAAGAGCCCGTGGCAAAACTATTTACCTCTTGCTGTCTGTGGCTGGTCCTTACAAGCGAAGAGTAACCTGCTGGAATCAGCCGGGCGATGCACGATCACTCGTGGTCGAAGCCGAACCACCATAGCCTCGTCAGCGGTGGTCGAGACCCTCCAAAAGGTCGGAGTTTGAGTTCTAGGTTGAACGTTATATCTTGTGCTGTTTCAGCACGGGCCAGACTGACTAGCCAGATTATTTTTCGGAAGGCGGAGGCGCGGGGGCGGGTGCTGAAGTCATCAACTGATGGGGGACTCCGAGTAAATGCAATCATTAATTATACAGGTCTGATACTAGCCCTATTTGGCACATTGTACAGGCCTGTTGCTGTCCTTCGGCATTGCTTTTGACTTAGTTTGGGCTATCGGGCCGGATGGGAAGCTTGGGCTTGTTTTGGAAGGAAGGAAACTTACAGCACAAAGGCATTGTACACCTACGATGACACGCCTCTTTGCCTTGAAGACAAGATGGACCGAACTGATGTAAACCGTACCATCGCAACTCTGCCGCACTGGCCCGGAACCTAAAACCTTTGCCTCAAGAACCCCAACCCGAAACCCGACACCTCAAACCACGAGTGTGGCGACGACGAAAGGTTGCTTAACATCCCATGGTAAGCATATATATTCCTGTAATTATGATAAGGAACCCCCAAAATATTATCGGTGATTATATTTAAGCCCCTATTGTAGGGTGTAGAGTGCAGGGTCGATTGTGGCTTCTGGCGCTGCGATGTTCGGGCCCCTGGACATTAGACGGTTTAGGGTTTAGGGCTTAGGGTTTAGGGTTTAGGGCTTGGGGTCCAGAACTCTAGACCCAAATCCTGACCGATATCCAAAGCCCTTGACTCTCAAGCGAAAGCAAAACAAAATCCTAGAGCCCTAGAGCAAACAAAAGAAACTGGCGGCCGATTGACACTGATCCGAGGCCGCCGAAGAAGATAATGATGAAGACGGTGCGCGACACAGCTGTGAACCTTGTTGCCATGCTTTTGCAAGCTGAGGTACCCTCAACCCTAACCCCTGACCCCTAAACCCTAAACCCTAATCCCTAAACCCTAAACCCTACTCCCTAAACCGTAGGCCCGTGGGTTCAAGCCAAAACCCGAAGCCCTAAGTGCGACATGCACGAACTCTCCTGCGACTCGCAAGGACCTCTCTGAGCGGAATCCTTCGGATGCGAACTCTGGAGTTCCTTTCTCTTCGGGTTTAGGGTTAAGGGCTTTAGAGGTTTAGGGCTTCAGGGGTTTAGGGCTTTAGGGGTTTAGGGCTTTAGGGGTTTAGGGCTTTAGGCTAGGGGTTTAGGGTGTGGGGTTTAGGGCTTTAGGGGTCTAGGGCGTTAGGGGTTTAGGGTTTAGGGTTCAGGGTTTTTAGGGTTTAGGGTTGAACCACCCCACAGCAGCAGCAGCGAGACTCCTGAATGCACACACAAAACCTGCCAAGCCTAGATTCCTGAGTGTCCGGCTCATCTTCGACCCAGTTCTTGTCCCAGTTCTGGCCACGCGTAGCTTGAGGATGCTTCGAATTGCAATGAGAACACGAGAGCCACAGGCGGATTGACAGGCAGATACAGCTAGCGGCTGCTAGCTAAGAGAGTCTTTTCAGAGCGACAGATAGACAGAGATGGGGTTCAGATAAGTCGAGCTACTTCACGTCCGCCTGCCCCTCGTCTGCTGCTGCTGGTTCTGCTGCTGCTACTGCTGCTGCCACTGCAGCCTGCTCGTCTGCATCCGTGATCGGGTGCATCGACAGCACACATGCTTGAACCTTCCATGCTCCCAGCGTGCCGATTGGAATGGTGCACATGCCCCAGCCAGAAGAGCGTCACAAGTAGTCGTACCTAGTTAGTCGCAGCAGCCTTGCCAACATCGCCAACAACACCACCCCTAAGCAACCATCACCACTAAAACCTGTCATCTTCATCATCCACACTAACGCCACGCCTCTTTCAAAGCAGCGATGCATCATGGTCACCTCCTTCTGTCAACACATGCACACCAGTTGATGCGGAGAATTGAAGACCATAGATGCCCTTGCCATAAATGCACGGTTCATGGCCATGCTGAACATAGTGGTGGTGAAGACGGATCTTCAGAAACGAGAGTGCGACGATAAGCGTGGCAGTACAAGAGTGCAACTCTTCAACTGGCAGTAAGAGGAGGCACTGACGACGACAGTGATGATGTAGACGAAGGTGATGATGATAAACAAAGACGGTGAATATGCTGAAGACGCTGAAGACGATGACCGTGGTGGTGATGGTGGTGGTGGTGGTGGTGGGGCTGGTGAGGGTGGCGGGGGTGGCGGCGCCGGCGGCGGTGGTGGTGGTTGTGGTGTTGACGGTGATGATGATGCTGATGATGATGATGATGATGTCTGTTGTGTGGCGATCGTGATGGATATTGAGGTATTGCGGCAAGCTGTAGCAAACCGCATAAAGAAGAGCACCATAGAACTCCTAGATACCCAGGTCGAATTCGGATGCTCCAACCCTTCCCCCTAATATTAAACGGAGGGCACCCCGTCCCCCCGAATAAAAACCCATAAAGTATGCTTATTATTCAGGAAATATGTTTATCGCTACTGCCACTTTTGAGGGGTCGTGCTCTTGCTCCTACTGCTGCGTCTCTTGCGACTGCTCCTGCTGCTTTTGCTGTTGCTCCCGCTTTTGCTCCTGCTCTTGCTCTTCCTTCCGCTCTTGCTTTTGCTTTGCTCTTGCTGCTGCTCTTGCTGATGCTCCCGCTTTGGCTTTTGCTCTTGCTCCTGCTCTTGCTCTAACACCTGCTCTTGCTTTTGCTCTTACTGTGCTCTAAAAGGTATTTGGAGCCTCGAATAGGGATGATGTCGAGAGGATTCGCCCCAATGTGGTTTTATTGTTAGGGGGGGTGTTCAATTAAAGGAGGAAGCGATTGGTCTGCTATTTCTCCAGCATGAAAAGGAAGTCTCATTTCTCACTTCCCAGGTTGTAAATCGGAAGCTTCGCGCCCGGCTTGCTTTCCCACATCGTCGTCTGATGGCAGCGAAGAGCGATCGATTTGAGCCGTACATATACAAAAGCTTCATGCAGGAACGAGCTCTTCAGCAGAAAACCCTTCGCCTCTTCCAATCTTGCTCCCCACTGATTGCATGCGCGGGCTCTAACAGCTTCCGAACAGCTGCCGGGAGACTGCCTTTCTGGAGCATCGCCTGGACTTCCTCGTCTTGGGAGCCGAAGTGCACACAGGCTCTCGCTAGCATATCCAACCCTTTGAGTGACGCAGTCTCTGCGACAGCCACAAAGCTTTTGGCATCGATCATGTCACACAGTGCCTTGCACAGGGTCCGCACAACTCCATGGATTTGCCAACGGTGGGCCAAGTCCAAAGCCTCCAGCATGGTCCTGTGGTCGGGGTCTTCACGGGTGGAGCTTGTGTACAGCAGATCCAGGAAGAGCGAGACGCCCGAGGATGAGGAATCCTTAACTTGAATGAGCCAGTTGGAGCCCTCCTTCATTGCAGACGTGAGCATGGCTTTCAAGACGGGCGAAGCTAACATCAAGACCTGGTCGTGTGCCGACACCTTTCCGTCTGAGCATTCGAAAATCACTCTATGCGAGATGGTCAAGTCACGCATTGACTCCCACAAGTCCAAGGTACTCCGAGGCACTGTGACATCTGCACCATAGGAGCTGTTAGCTGCAGCGGAGCTCGAGAGAATCGCAAGGACGGCTTTGAGATGCGCCTCCAGTTGTGACCAGTCCGCGTTGCCTGTGACAGTGCGCTTCTGCGCTTGCTGAAGATAGGCAAAAGCAAGCGAAACAGCAGAATGCCCACCATATGCAACTATGAGCTTCGTAGCTTCCGGGTTGCTGTTCTTGTGAATCTGCCATCGAAAAGGGTGATCGGCCGGAAGCTTCTGTCGAGGATCAGCTCCAACCTTGAGGAGCCATTCCACCATCTTAAGGCTTTGCTTTTGCAAGGCTTCTGTCTGAGCAAGGTTGTAATGAATCACATACATCAGTGCAAGTAGCTCCTTCTCACCTATGGCCTGAGTCCAGTCGAACTTGGGAGGCGCGAACGCCCGCAAGCCTTCCAAATCGCCCAGCATGATGAACCCGTGAACCACATCGGCATCGATCGCCGCTGCCATGGACTCGTTGAGAAAAAAGTTCACCGGCCTAGCTCCTAGGCTCCCAAGGGCCACGACACTCGGAAATGCTTGAGCTGAACCTGCTCGGCATCAGCGCATGCAGGACTGAGCGTAATGTTTCTCTGGCTCCTTAGGGTTTGTGGCTTGTGTGTTAAGCATTGTCAAGATGGAAACCAAACCTTTTCACCAAAAGAACACGCTCGAATCTTCTGCTTCCAGCTGAGCACGAGACTCGGGGCCCTAAACCCTAAACCATATAAATATCAACTATGAACGTTTCTTCACTTCAGTAGTCACATGCCACGAACCTCCTATAAACCCCCCCCCCCCCCCCCCCC